CCCCAAAACCCCAAAACCCCAAAACCCCAAAACCCCAAAACCCCTTATATTTAGCCCATGATTGGATTCTAAATTATTATATCATTTCTGACAACTTTTTGAGAAGCAATTTGGGAATTAAGAATGCAATTTTGACCACAGATTTAGAAGTAAGCTTATAAAACTATTAAGTTATCTAAGAAAGTTAGGCTCAGAGACAGCATTGGAGTGAGCTCTGGCTTGTCTCCTGACTCTTCTCCTCATTCTCTTCCTTTCTTGCTTATCATCGACGATTGGTTTGGAAATCGCCATGAAAATATCAAAGAAATTAGTGTCCTTCTTCTCAGAAAGTTCTTCGTTTAAGGAATTAGCACCTGAATCCTTGGTCCTTTGGGCTCTAGTGGAGGTTTTACCTGACAAGGACACCTTGCTAGTAGAAGACCTATTACAGTCGGTCAGATGGGACCTGATACTGTTCTTCCTACGTTTGTGCACAGGTTTGAATCTGTCCTTTTTATATGTGGTCAAAAAGTTCTTCAGTTTTTTCTTTTCCTGAGACCTCTTTTTTTGTCAGTCATCTGGGTTGATTTCTGTGTAAATCTTGTCATTTTTGATATAGTTAACAGCATGGAGCTTGCTTTGACGCTCCTTCTGCCATTTGTTGAATCTCTCCTCCTCACTATCAACACTTGATGCTCTTTCATTATGCTCATCATTATTTTTAGCGTTAGGTCTCTTCCAATGATTCGTTGCAATAGTCTTCGTAATTTCACTGGATGTTACTGTTTCGTCAATATCCTCCCCTTGGATAATTTTCTGCAGTCCTTGCTTTTTCTTCTTTTTCTAAAACGAGTTAGATGCTGCTTGAAGAAATTTTGAGTAAAAGCTTACCTTATTGAGAGGAATACTTACTTCAGTATACTTTTCCTCAGTCTGGCTGCTGTTTGTATCCTTATCAGATTCAATAATAGTGAGTTCAATATCACAGAGGACGCTGTCAGAGTTGCCGTCAACATCTCGAGTCTTGAACAACTTTCTGACTTTCCTCTTAGCTCGCTTTTTCTCTTTCTTAGTCATCTTGTATGTAGCAAAGGCTGCTACTAAAGAAGCTCCGATTCCTAGGGCAATGAGGCCCTTATCTCTATTCATTGGATATTAATTATTATTTTTCAATGCGGCTCTCTATTTATGGGGTTTTGGGGTTTTGGGGTTTTGGGGTTTTGGGG